GAAGAAAGCGGCTCGACTTTTTTCATCTGTTCATCTCATGGATCTATTATAAACCGGTTCATCTGCGACACTTCACTGAGACTGTTCCAGAACTACAGGGACGATGGAACTGGACTTACTCAAAAGCGGATCTGGAAACACGTTATTCCCACGGTAAAAGACGTAACTCGGACCCCCTCGATCTGTGAGTAGTGACGCTAACTCGCTGTATATTTCTGTAAACTAAATAGGGTCTGATTGTGCATCGAGGACATAGGGCTCGATGTGACGGATTGTCATTGTTGGAAAAAGTTTATTCTTATGTATGAAATTACTAAGTACAGGTGATAAACGACAAAAGCGTGATGCTACGTCACCGTGCGGGCGGGGGGAGGCGGGCTCACAGGCAGAGGAGCAGACTCTTCTCTGGATCAGCTCGTTTGAGTTGAGGTGACGTCCCCTCTATACAAGAGATGGCTCTAATCTCACAAGCTTTGATTGTTGTGTGGTGTATCATACACATTAATATCACACATGTGCATAGGATTGAGTGTGAAACATGAAGAAAAGCGTGATATAGGACCTTTAAAGCTCAGCACTGTAGAGGCTAGAGGACGCGGCTTGTTCGCTCCTCGTTCTTTTTACGCTATTTACAGTCTGAATTCATACAAAAGCTGAATCAATGAGCTTCAGTTTTCAATTAAATTACAGATTATAATACAACTTGTATGTAGTAAAAAGCATTTTTGTGAACTAATTAGTAAAAAAAAATGGGTTATAGCTTCTTTAAGAATGTGCTCCTGAGTGTTCGTAGGATTTGTTCTTACCTAAGAGAAAAATTAATGAATGCCACAATCTTCGTCAAATCCTCGTCAGTAGGACTTACAAACAAATTTCTTCTGAAGAAGAATTTGTGAATGAAGCCCATTGAGAATACAATGAACCAGCTACAATAGAGACACAGTCAGACACAGGTGAAACACATCAGGGCGGGGCAGACAATCAACAGGGTAACAGGGCAGGAAGCATAACCGACATGAAACCACAGAACTATTGTCAAAATAAAACTAAATACAGAAATAAAATCAACACCATGACAGTCAGCAATTGTCCCCTGCTTAATCCTCAGTAATATTATTGTGTTGTGCTTTTTTTTCTTTGGGGTTGGGGCAGCAGAGTTCTCCAGTCTCCTCTTTACAGATGACTGGATCTGAACACAGCCATCTGCTGAAACGTCGCCAGGGCTTCTCAGCTGTAATTGAGAGTGAAGTGATAATGCCAGGAATGTTTGCCATTTCAAATAGTTTTATGTCCGTTTGGATTCTTATTTTATTATGAATCCTACAAAGTAATAATTGCTGTACTTTTTTATGGAATGTGTAGCAATTAATTTTAATGATGTCCAACTTAAGACAAATCTGCACGACAGCAATTACTGTGACAATGTGTTCAGCAGCCCAAAGGTAGCAGCAGTCTGTCGCAGGCGTGAGTGGGCTCTGAGCCATCCTACGCAGCCTCTGCTGCTATTATCAGAACACATGTTTGTCTAAAATGAACATCAGTGAAGGCTTCCTGTTTTTTGTTGTTGTTTTTTTTTTTAATTCTTTTGATCCATTAGTTTTATTGGATTATTGGATGGGACAGAAGAAGAAACAGATGCAACAGATTATCACCTCATCGGAATTTATTGTATTCTTTCATTAGACTGAAAGAGTTTTACTCTTTAGTCTAAACTTATAGTTTTGAACTTTTGGGAATATGTGTATCAGTACAGAGCAATACAACACAATTAATTGTTTGTAAATGATCGATTACACACAAATTAACCCTGTTGTTATTTTGCAATTTATGTACAGAAGAGTAAATTTCAATCTGTCCTCTGGGATCAATGCTGATATTACAGAATCATGTCAATATCACCTAATCAGATACTGGCCACTAGAGGTGTTAATAGTACAACTAATGTTGTGATATAATAGAACCATATCTTAAATGTGTATAGGACAATTTTCTACTTCCGGGTGGATCATCAAGACGATTGGTCCTCCCAATTGTCAATCATCCTGCTAATATGTCCCTTCTTCCTAAAATTTGGGGAAAATCCTCCTTTATGCCTTTAATGCTGTGGGAACAGTGAGATGGCTGAGGCAATACATCTATAGTGGTGTCCTTAGAGCTGTCCTTCTCAACTAGTGAGACCTGTGCGATGCCAGGGGAACACTACCCTGTCAGTCCTCCTGTTCAATAAAACGCATACAACGTACACATAGTTGATCAACTCTCCAAAGACCATTATTACAAACAATGTCCGTGTATTGGACTTTGCCCAGGAATTACTTATTGGGGAAACAATTGGCCCCACACCTTGTCAGGGCTGAGCGTCATCACTCTTTTTTGCAGAGAGTGATTCATCACACACCAGTGATTAATGTGGTCTGTGAGAGAATAGTTGGTGGAGGTTGGAAGGCCTGGTGGCACCACCCAGTTCGGTCAATTTGCCAGAGCGCATGTTTACGGTATCAACCTCTTGGTAGAAAAACCCACACCCAAATGTTAAAATTGTTGACCAATAAGAAAAAGTGGTCTTCAGTCAGAGGTGCCCCTGGCTCTGACAGAAAGCAGATAACAGGAAGTGTGCTACAGGTAGGGCCTTATTTGAAAGCAGTTTGCCCCAGAAAGTGGCAATGGTGCTGAGGAGGTGTTGCCGATCTATCATTGTCCACAGCATCTGTGTCAATAGCATTCCTCAGCTGAAGGCTAGTGTTTGCTTTAACCACCAAAGCACGGCGCCCTGATTTAGTGCATACGGACAGTGCCATAAATCGCTCATGCTGTACAGCACATACATGAATGTCATAAGATTGAAGGTTTGTTTGCTTTCAATTGCGTGTCACAAGTCTAGAAGTACTAAACTATCTGGGCAAAGATGGGAGGGTGGAGGGACCTGGCTGCTAATGACACCGATTATTATTCCATGACCACAACATGACCTCAAAAGAGCGTGCTTGGGGACAGTGGGTGCACTTTATGCACACATCTATCTTTCAAATACAGTACAGTTCTTTCAGATAGAGCTTGAGATACTGCATTTTCAGTTGGCATACAGTCCTCATTAGCTTCTTCTTCAGGGCTTCACCAGGATTCACCAGGATTTTTGCCTACCGACCGTACCCAAACCCCAAGTCACATACACCCTCCTTTCTGAAAAAAGGGGGGACCTGTTCTTTGGATTATTTGTAATAGATAAGGATTATGCGAGAGTAGATGTAAAATACTTACACAGGTGTCATATGAACGGTCTCGGCCTCCTGCATAACTAGATCTCAACAAATTGAGCGCACACACGCTTAGGCCTGTTGCAATATTCAACAATCAATTAATAGCATGATAATTAAAATGAGTAATTAATAATTTTTTCTAGCCGCGATAAATTCCATTTGCATGCTTGTTTGTTTTCCTTGTCTCTCTCTCTCCCTCTCTCTCCCGGGTCAGAGAGCTGCAAAGTGGTCATGGGAACATTAGCGGTTTAGCGAGCAGACTGAAAATACTCAAAAATACAAAATACAGCCAAAACGGGACCTAAACCAGGACTAAACCAGGACTTAACCAGGATTTACAATGGGGGACACAGTAGTTGTGAACATATGCCAGCCTGAGTCCTCATTCAGGTTCTAGTAGTGACTAAACTAGCGCAGCTAGCGTGTTCGCTGATGCGGAAGTACCGTTTAATAATAAAATAAACTTATGGCGCAGCTCTGTGAACACATACTGCTGTTATATAATGTTTCTGGAAGGTCTCTGGACAAAGAGACGCTGCAGAGCTGCATTCTTGGAGAAGAACAAACGGAATCTGAATTGAAACCAACATCAGGAACCTGCCCTGAAACAGAGAAAGCCTTTATATGACTGTTTTTTACGCCACTGATTATTAGAAAAGTGGCCAATTTGTTTGAGTTACTTGAGAAAAAGAAAAAGAAAGATGTACCTGGCAATGCCCGAATGGCCGATGCCTGCTTCATACAAAAAACATTTTTGTGAAATGTCTAAATACCGTTGAGAAATTTTCAAGGGGGGCGCGCGTGACTGCAGGGCACTTGCTGTTTCTTGCTGTATGTACTCGAACGGGATCCCGCAACCTCTGTGGCCACAGCGTTCTGACTCGGGGCAACTGCGGCAGCTTTGTATGAAAGTGGTTCCCACCTTTAGTGGCTGTGTGCCGCTTTGACACGGCGAGCGCGCCGCTGTAACATGGTCATATCCAAGACCATATATGTGCACCGAACCATTCTCTGCTTGTTGTGTGTGTTTATTTGCGTAACCTGTGCACCGCTGAAGCTGGACTATGGAGCCTCTCCTCTATGTCTCCCTCGTGTCTCCCCTGTGTCTCCCCCCAAAGAGCAACTAAACTCTCTAAATGAAACACACAAGTTGCACAAGTTGGTTGTGCCCAAAAGTAAAATGTTGTGAATAAATCAAACATATTTAATGACATTATGCATTTCAGACTCTTTTGAAATGTCCCATTCTCATCCCTCTAACAAACAGCAGTGTTTGTCTGTGTCCATCTCCCTCAGTCTGAGACTTGTGTGTTACTCTCTTGTAATGTAGACTATTGCACTTTATTTCAAAACTACATACATCCTCTACAGTATGTGCTTCTGCATACCATATAAATAACCGTGAAAGACCCTGTTATTGCCTCTTTCCTTTATTTCGTGCTGCATTCTAGAACAGTGACAGGAGTTGTTTGTGGTCACAAAGGGCTTGAGGCTAAATGTTCATGAGAACAGTACTTAATACTTAATATATTTTTACTAAACGTAGCTGTAAAAGACTCAATGTAAATCCAATCGAACAGTTCCTTCAGGCACTCAGCTGCATGAAAAACACACTGTCCCTTGAATGATTCAGTTGTAAAAGCAGCTTTTGTTCAAATCAGGCAAATCCATTTATGTTGGCTATTGCCACTCTTCTCTGTGACCTATCTCTAAACTCAATCTCCATGTGTGCTCTCGTTGCAGCTGACTGTCAGCCCCCATGCCAGAACCGTGGCTCCTGCAGCCGGCCTCATACCTGCGTGTGCCGCTCAGGCTTCCAGGGGCCACGCTGTGAGGAGGCGGCCCCGGAGCAGGTGTACATCCACGACGGAGGGATCCTGAGGCGAGTGCAGCCCGGGACCAATCCATTCTACCGAGAGAAACCACAGAGACGGCTCAGTGATAGTAGCAGGAGCCAGACCCCTCGGCCAACCACCACCAGGCAGCCTTCACACTCCACGTAAGTCACCCTGACCCTGATGTGGCTTGTGTGTCATGATGACTATGGAAGATTCAAATTTCAACGATCCGCATTCATGTCAGTGCAATAGTGAAAAGAGCTATTAGAGTAGGCCGAGAGTCGAGCCAGACTCAAGATTACAAGGCTAACATGCAGACTAGAGGATTAAATAATCTTCAAAGTGAATGTTGTGAAAATAGAGCACAATTTTTGAAAACCCTTTGTAGGATAGCTCTTTCTTGTCATCTCTTTATGTTATATTGTCAACTGAACTGATAAGATAAGAGAGCCATGATTTGTCACACAGTGGGGAAATTCCATTGTTAAAGGACAGTAGTAAGAGCACACAGGGAGCTCACAAGATATGCAATGTAAATAACTGCTATGTTTCTTCGCTAGCTATAGATGCTTCAATGTCAATATATTGATATATCTCTATCTATCTATATTAATAGTGTAAAGTTATACATTTAGGGCAGGATCATTCAGTGGAAATTCTGAATCATATATACCCATTACATCTTTTTATTTATTTATTGTGCATGCCAGTTTTTAAATAAAACGTACAATGCATTTTTCCATTTTAACCAAAAATGTTGGCATGAACAAAAGGACAGGACAAAAGATTCAAGTAATATAAACTTTGCTCTTTTATTTTGCAAGTGAGACATTTTTTACCTATCAAACCTATCAAGCCACAATAGGAAATGTACTAGTTGGCTGACACTATCTGATGATACTGTATGGACAGTTAACACATGACGGGAAAGACCAAATACTGACCATTGTTCAAAATTGGGATACCTTATTGGCTCTTAGCAAATATACTGTATGCTACAATAACTGCATGATACATAATATCGATGATCAGGGTTATGGCTTTAAAGTACCCACAGTGGAAAGCGTATAGTTTCCATACACTGTAAGAAGGAATACGATTTTTTACCCTCACTCTCTGAAATTAAACTGACCCATAAAGTATTTAGAATAATTACGTAATTTTCTCACTTTTTTGGCTATAAGGAAGTGGTAACAATGTTAGACGTGCCAACATGTGACATGTCTTTTTAAATATTTAATCTTTCTGTGTTTTTTTCCTGATTTGAGTTTGTCCATTGTGTGCTGAATGACCAGTTAGTCATTTGGACAATTTTTTTTTTCACCTAATTTTGAAACATCAATGACAGAGACAGCGTTTGTAGTGCAGCTCATGCTAATTTGCCTCTGCTTGTGACATTTTGTTCTCATGTTGGTGTTATTTGACCGGCCCATCCCACTGTTTGTGGTAGCCCTGTGATATTCTGCTAAATGTTTTGTCAGATGCTCATGAAAGGCTTTATACATCCGCCTTCCCAAAACAATTATCTGAGATTCTGAGAGTTGTCTAATCAATACAAGAGATCTGAGGCTGCCCAGTTGCTGTGCACATGCTGGCTTTGTTCTTCAGGACATACTTGTAAGCTGACTCACTGATCTGGGTCAAGTGGAAATAGATGGCTGCAGGTTGAAGACTGTAAAAAGGCAGACAGTATTTGAGTCATGCATCCATCCATAACTTTTGTTTTTTTCTCTAAGGCTGACTAATGCTCAACAAGAAAAAAATTTATTTTCTTTGGCTAATCATGATCAACAGCGGCATCTCAGCAAGAAGGTCCTGGATTAGAATCCCAGTTGGAACTGGGTCTTTCTGAGTGGAGTTTGCTTGTTCTCCCTGTGTCTGTGTAGGTTTCCTCCGGGTGCTCAGTTTTCCCCTACCAATAAAAATATGTTCAGGTAAAATCCTTCTGTTATGGTCCTGACCTAGCTGAGCATCTGATCCTGACAGAGGCCCCCGTTGCATTGCAGGATGGGTCAAATACAGAGGAAAACTTAAACCTAAAAGGGAAAATGTGTCCATACTTGCATGCAAAAGCCAGATCACGTCAGTTCTCTGAAGTCCTGTTCAGGGTAGGGCCTGGTTAGTACATTGATGGGAGACCTTTGGGAGCACCAGGTGCCACAGTGGGGCAGCTGTGGCTGTTAAGTGCTAAACTGTCATTATGTTCTAAGGCAGGGGTGGCCAACCAGTCAGAGACTAAGAGCCAATTTTTTTTACTGTGTCACAGCAAAGAGCCACATCATACAAATGTGCACTACATAAACATCACCCCATCCCTTACACTTGCACACGCGCACCCCTGCTCAGAAAGGTTTATTGTAAACGTCATCAACATGATAATGACAGAAATTGACTCGTACAGTACTAAAGGGCTGGACTCGACTCTTCCCGGTTTGTGGGCGCTTCCACCGCTCGCTTTAGCCGCTCCCCGGTACTTTTTATTAATGGTTTGGCCCTGGTTCTAACCGGGCGAGTCGATACCAGAACAATCTCACGTCAGCGAACATCAATTATGATTCCGAAATGAATGCTTTCAATCTCTAACCAAGAAAAAAAAATCAAGTTTCAACCCAGTATTCAGCAGAACCGCAACTGTCTTTATTGAACCATGATTCACTCTCTGACTGCGTTTAGTAAAAGATATAGATTTGACACATAACACCAACACCACGTTAGCTGATTTAGAACCACAGACACATGTTCAGTATAAGACCAGATACTTTTGCATTTGATTGAAGACAGACACTCACCAGACAGAGTTAGCTTATCTCCTGGTGTAGTGTTAGCTGGTTTTAGCATGTTAGCCGGTGTTAGCCGATGTCCGTAAATTTAATCCATTTGGTCAAACCACCTCCAGACTTTTCGATTCTGCCTCTACTTCTGCTGCTGTGATCTTTCATTTCACGGTTTTCACTTTTAAGATGTTTAACTTTTCTCTGCATTGTCATGTTCGTGGGAATCATTCTGCTCCGTCCTTAGCGCTAGCTCCACAAACACCTTCTGGTTTCTGGTGGAACCATCGAGCTCACCCTGGTGTCCTCTCCTCAAACTGAGGAAGGTGTTGCCCTCATCCAGCGACCAACGAATTGTTTTCCGTACGGACGTCATGGGTCGAGGCAACGTGTTGTTTGTTATATTTGCAACAGAGTGATTGACAGCGCATCTGACCAATCAGAATTGATCTTCGCCGGCGTCAGATTGTTTTGGCGGCCCGCCTAGTGGAGTAGAGTCGGCCTTTACTATGGGTCAGAACTCCATAGGGAATGAATGGCAGCGCCACCACCGTGGCGTTTTTGACGCTTGTCGTGTGAAAGCCGAGAGCCGCACGGAACCAGCCAAAGAGCCGCATGCGGCTCACGAGCCGCGGGTTGGCCACCCCTGTTCTAAGGCAAGACACTTAGCTCATATTGTCTAGAATGAGTCTGGTGTGTGTGTGTGTGTGTGTGTGTGTGTGTGTGTGTGTGTGTGTGTGAATGGTTTTTGGTGGTCGGAGGGGCCGATGGCACATACTGGTTGCCTCGCCGCTGTCATTGTGCCCTAAAGCAGATGTAGCTGCAATGTTACTTTATCACTAGTTTAACCCTATGTTATGAACAGTGACAGGCTGGACTGTGCCCTAAAGAGTGAGGAGGTTTCAGATACCACTACTATGAGATAGCTATGTTTTTTCTTACATTACATTTCAAATTAAAATAATGACAGTGTGTTTCCTCATAATTGCTGGGTTGCAACCACGTGACCAAAAGGGGACGTGACAAGGGGCCGTAGGACAAGAAGCGATTTTGTCTTATTGGTAGTTGTGGGCAACAGGGGCTCAGTTGGTAGAGCATTGGCTTTTGAGCCTGAAGGTCGTGGATTTGAGCCCACCGCAAGACCTTCCTCACAACTCCCACTGATTTATGCTGTTGTTGTGTCCTTGGGCAAGACACTTAACCCCACTTTGCCTGAAGCCTGGTGCAACCCCACCGACCCAGAAATGGTTTAAGAGGAAGAAAATGGATGGATGAATTGGTAGTTAAAATGAGCAATGCGGGAAAACACACACTATACACACTTTTCGCGGCTTAGTTTCTCTCTTGTTTTGAGTGAAAACTATTTTCGATGCCGCCGTTTTTTTCCGTGTTAGTGTAGACCAGGGGTGTCAAACTCATTTTGGTCCGGGGGCCAAATACAACCTAATTGGATCTCAAGTGGGCCGGACCAGAAGATGCTCTACAAAAATACCAAAAAATGGTACAAAGACCAACTTTTTGTGCACATAAACACATTTATATAAAAGTTCCTTTAAAACACTGTCCTTTAATACTTAAATGTAACAGTGAGTTTTTTATAGTGCAAATAATGTAATGTATTTACAATATTACATTGTAAATGGCATTTCACAATATTTATATTAATAAATGTATGTTAGCTTTGTTTTAAGGCTCATTACAGAGAAAACTTGCTCACAAAGGTAAAGTAGGTAGATAGAAAAAAGCACTTTAACACAGCACATCATCATTATCATCAGAGAGAAAGCATCAAACTGACCATGATTCAGTTGAAATGAACAAAACAACTTCCATAACGGGATCCATTCTTAACGACTGCAGCAGTGTCTCTGTGTAAAATACAGTCAAATGTCCAAAAATCATCACCTCCATTTGCAGCTTCGTCACTACTCCTGCTTTTACCATCGGTAGCAGACTGGCAGCGTAGGACCAGTCTACACTGTCCAACAGCACCAGCAACAACAGCAGAGCGCTCAAAACTCCTCTGATAGTTTCAGTAACACCACATATGAATATGTGACATCAGTAACATCAGTCTCTTATCAATGGCAACATGTTGGTAAAAGCGAGTGGTTTCTCAGACTATGACTGCAGTCTGTATGAGAGTTTTAACAACTCTCTCACTGTGCGGCTGCGATGCTACTGCTATGTTTTTCTCCGCTCAAAGTGCCGTATTGCAGAGTCTCGTACTTCAAGATGTTATTCCTTAAGCACCGCTTTGGTGGAGCCACTACAGACGCACTGGACTCGCTGCTGAGCGCGGCGCGGATTTTTATTGTTTATTTTTTTTAATTATTATTATCATTTTACATAAACGAGCCGCGGGCCGTATCAAATCTCTTGGCGGGCCT